TACGGCGTAATAAGCAGTTTTTATGCAGCGCACATTGTGCGACGGGCGTTTTTATTATTTCCGGCCGCATTCCAATTGCCAGATGACAGTGGGATCAAAGTTCCAATTGATTAAAACATATTTAATCGATTTTATGGAAAAATGCCTTAGCTTCGTACAAATAAAAAACGAAAGTAATTTATTTTATTGAATTAGTCTTTTCAGTTCACCCATTAGAAACAAGTCGGTGCCGACCCACTGTGCGCGGCTGCCTTTTACCAGCGGGGGCGGATGCGACGTCAATGGGCGTGTCGGGTACGCGTATTTGCCGACTTTTCAAACGGCGCAAACTTTTTGTCTACATTCGTTTCATTTTATAACCCCGCAACCGAATAAAACAAAACAAAAGTTTTTCAACTTTTTGGATTGTGGGCCTTTTCCTGCCTCGCGTTTTGTTTAGCATCTGACTGCGAACAGTGCGCGAGTCTGTCTCTTGACTTATTTTTATGACTGTCTGTCGATCTGCACCCTAAACAGTATGCCGCCCAACCCCAACCCCAACCTACCCATCCACCCCATCCTGGCAGCTGGCGTCCAAATTACTTACAAAGTACTTATTTGCCTATTTGAAAAGCCATTCGCATAAATGCCAACAGCAATACAAGGATGGGAATTAGCTTAAAGTCCATGAAGGATAAGTGAAGGAGAAAGCAGGACAGAGAGGGAGACGGTGAAGTCTTTCTTAAGAAATGTAATAAAATTAGTTCAAAAGTGCAGCTGTATAAACAACTACCTGATAAACGTAATGTTAGACGGTTTTAGAACGATAGAGCGTGGCTAGAGTGAGGTGTCGACGACTGTGTAATACTCGCTTCCACTTCAAAAGTAGCCAAAATACCATCAAGCTTTTTTTAATTTAAATAATTTTTTATTTTATATTTAGAAATCTTATTTTTTCAAATAATTTATCTATTTTCATTAATTTTATTTTTATTAAATTTGTTGGGAATTTTTGTTCAAATTTTATTTACTCAACTGAAGCAGATATTTTGTTTATTCCATAATCTACACGTCAGTCGGCATGGCCTACTTGTATTTGTATTTTTTATTTGATTCATATGTCAATATCTTTTAATAAATTATATTGCATAGACATACATTGGCATACATTACTTTTGCAAACTAATACACTCTTTGGTCGATTTTAAGAGATATGTAGATTGAAGAGCACCCACAGCCCTTTTGCACATAATCTCGTCAGCATTTGCCGCGAGCCAGCCTCAATCTCAGTCCCACTCACTGCCTCTGTCCCAGTCTCTGTCGCGAATTGAGCCACTCGAAGCTGCGGACACCGGAATTTGCATAAAATGTTGCAGTGGCGCTGCCCCGCCCACATTTTGGGGCAATCGCCAGGCCATTTCCACGCGCTGCCTCCCCCTAACTTGGCATTTTTTTATTAAATTTTATTATTATGTTTTGCATAATTTTGAAAACACTTTTCCCATTTTTATGTCTGCCTCATTTTCATTTTCATTTTTGTTTTTTTACTTTTTGCTGATTCTGTCAGAAATGGGACGCAAAACATAAACAACTGAAATTATGTAAAAGCGTTTTTAAGAACAGAATGATGTTGTGTTGGCTTTTAAATGAATTTGACTTGCGTTAACATTGCCCGCTCTAAACTAAAGCAATTTCCAAACCTTAATTACAGCAACTCTTTAGCCTTAACGCAGAGTTCCTAAGCTCCAGGTGATTGTATAATTAACCGAAAACAAAGCAATTTCCTCACTCAACCCCATGTCAATGTGTGCATGTGTTTGTGTGGCCTAATGAGGAGAACGTGAAGTTTCATTAGGTATATAATAAATAAGTAGCAAGTCAAATAAAACACAGGCCAGAGCAGCAGCAGAAGCAGGGTCAGGACCCAAAGATGAAAGTGGTGCCCGGGAGAAATACGCAACGAATTGAATCAAATGCTAAACAGACACGCAGGCATATTAAAATTTAGACACGTACACATTTTATTGCATGTATTTCAACGCTCTGGGTGTATCACACTCACGCAAATACACACACACCCACACACACACACACACACACACACACACAGAGAGTTGACACAGACTGCGCAACATCAAAATCTGCTGCAGCACAAGGCAGTCAACTACAATAAGAATGAGTATAGCAACAACAAGAGCCACATAAACCTAACCCAACAAACAACAGCAACAACTATAACAAATAAAACAGCTCTGCAAGGTTAAGCACGACTGGGATATACCCTATTATCAAATATATGTACATATTTTGAATTTATATTTCAGAAAGAATTTTCATTGCATACACAAATTCATAGTGAAACACTTCTATACTCAAACCCAACATGCCCCATTTCAGTTCAACTTAGGGTATTACAACAATAACAATTGCCAAGTGCTGGTTAATGTTGTTGCCAGTTGGCAGGACCGCCGCCTGTCTGCGACTGTATTCAAATCCTTTGTTGTCCTGACATTCGCCATCTGCTGATAGCAAATTGCTTTTGCGACAGTGCCCGCCAGCTGTATGCATACCGCACATTCGGCTCCAATAATAGTGTGCGCCTCAAGCGCTCACATTATTTATAAGTACTGGAACAAATATGTGTATAGAAAAACAAGCATATTATATGAAGAAACAATAAATCAGAATTCTTTAATTTTATGCAAGGTGCTTTTTGCTATTGATGATTACAACAAATATATGAAAAATTTGGATATGTTTTATCTTAATATTAAGGGGAGCACATATTTCAACTGGCAGCTGGAAACCAAATTTCTGGATCAAGACCGATTTGGTTTACATGTGAAGACGCCACTTTTTCTTTATTTATTGCAAACATGAACAAAACTAACAATTTAGGAGGCTAGCTAGGAAAAACTAAACTACAGAGGTCTGGCTGAATGCCAGCTCCCACTTGTCTTTATCTGATTCCGAACTGGAATGTAGCTCAGCTTTGGGCGCACTGCAGCGATTGCATTTCTGACGATACCAAAAATTAACATTGAAGCAGTAGCCGCAAGTCCAATCATGTTTACGTGGACGCCATGTGCTGCTCTGTCCGGCATTTGCCATGGCAATGGCCGTGCTCTTGCTAACCTGACACCGATTGCAGCTCATACGCCATACGAAATTGCTGTTCCTGCATAGCTCACAGACCCAATTATCGAATGCGGGCTTCCACTTCTTTTGACGCTGACGGCGCTGTTGCTCGATCCCGGTCTCCTGGGCGTAGCTGAAGCGTACGCCCTTGCCGGGCTGTGTTGATAGGTAAGCGGGCACCACGCTAAGCACTTGGCCCAGAAATTTAGCCCCGTCCAGATAATGTATGGCCGCTTGGGCGGCATAGGGGCTAGTGTATGTTATGGTTGCCTCACCCTTCGAGCGCCCCGTTAGCTTGTTTTTGTATACAAATATTTTTGGCTTCATGGTCAGCTCATCCATTTTGATGCGTCCCATTTTGCCAAAGAATTCAATAATGTCATTTTTGGTCACGTTCAAACGCATGCCCAGCACGAAGATCGTGTCCAAGCGCAGCACGAACTTCTCTTCGCTAATTTGCATGGTTGGCGCTGGGCGTGGACGCCGGAATTGTGAAGCCCAGTCATTTGGTGGGCGATAGCCCAACATTGTCAAAAGATCAAAATCATCTATTGGTTGTGTAGTCTCGTCCTTGTCCTTCGGCTGCAACAAGGATGTTGTCTTTGTTGTTGTAGTAGTGGTTGTAGCTGCTGTTGCAGTTGTTGCTGTTGCAGTTGTAGCAGTCGTTGCTGTTGTCGCAGTTATTGTCGCCGATGCAGTTGTTGCAGCAGTTGTTGTCGAAGAAGAGACAGCGCCTGCTCCGGATGTTGCTGGTGTTAGTGCTCCTCCTTCTGCCGCTGCCACTCCTGCTGCTGCCGCTGCTGCCGCTGCAGCAGCACTTGTTTCAGCTGTTGTCGATGATGTCGCCGCTGACACGGCAGCGATAGCATCCTCATTGAAGGTCCTGCAGTATTCATCGCCCAATAGCAGCGAGCCGCGCGCATCTCCGCCACCATCCTCAAAGCGATACATATCTAAATCACCGACCGCAGTATTGACCATGTCAATGTAATTTTGTTTATCTAATTCTTGCTGCTCGTGCAGTGCAAAAAAATTTTGAGCTGAAAATAGATTTTCATACACCGAATTAACTGTCGCAAAGTCCATCGTTTATAAAAACTGTAAAAAAAAAAATGATTTTTTACTGCCGAACTAAACACGAACCGTTCCCTATGAAAGAATAAAAACTACTGAATAATCTAACCCACAAGCACACAAAGCTGAATAACCAAAATCAAACATTTTCCATGGGATACTAGGTTTTTCGATGGATAACTTTCTCAAAACCTCATTTCACTAGAAAATTCTACATTCCGTTTCAACTGAGTGTTTCAACACTCTACGAATATTCAGAGCATACTTTTCTACATTTTATACAAAAACTGTTTCAATACCAATCGAGTCAGGAATTCCCATCGGAAATACGAAGTCAGATTATACCGGTTTGATTATATAATAGGCAGAGGCAGGAGTGGAAGACCCATAAAGTGTATATATTCTTGACCAGGGCGACGAATTGAATCGAAATAGCCATATCCGTCTGATATATACTCTATATTGTTTATATAGCCATACTTAAACTATATCTTAAAGCTATATCCATTCTAAATCTCTACTTTCAATTAATAGTTTCTTATGTAAGATTAACTTAATGTTACAGATTCTTTACAAAATGTATTTATACTGCTATATATGTACTTATAAGGCTTTAATGTTAGAATATGTATTTATTTTAATGTATGTCTTATTCCATTTTGGATTTCTTATATTTTGAGTGCTGGCTTAGCCACACTCTTTAAATTGAAAAATCTGAGACTGGATAAATTATAATATCACAATATTCAGTAGGGAATGGAGATCATATACCGAAAATTGCATTAAAACCCGCTAAAAAACACAGTAATTATTATACAAAACTTGTGGCTATCCGAACTGTTGGTACTAAAAGCTCTAGGCCCTATAAAAAAAATTAATAAATATGCTTCATGATTATGTCACTATGTTAATCGCTCAGACTATTTCCTAATTACACACCTAAAGTTCAAAGTTATCCTACGTTTTTCTATAAGCTTAGCTGATTTATATATCGAATTTATGCACTTTTGTCATTAAAGTATTTTTAATAATAATAAGCTCCCAATCGACATTTAGCTGCTGCTTAACCATTGAACTGATGAGTTTGTGCATTCCTTGGCTGTGTAAAAGATTGATTCATAATTTGTTCAAATTTTCACTTTAATCAAGATAAGCGGTGCTAAAGCGGCGAGCATTAAGGTGGCAAGGGCGTTAATAAAACGCAAAATTATGCGAAAATTTCCCGTTTAAGCGTGAAGCAGCAGCTGTAAAGGTGAGCCCCAAAGCAATAAACTAGAGAGATAAAAATGCCAGTTAATTGCAGAGCAAAGTATTAAGGCTGCAAAAAAAATAATGTATGCGAATAAGGGTGAAGAAGAAAGTGTTAATCAAGATAAAACTATCAGCATTAATAATAATGCTAATTATAGATGTATAAATTATTATATATAGGATTAAAACCACACTATAAATATAAACAAAACAGTATCGATGGACTTGGTCTCCTCAACAGTTAATAACTGAAATAGGCTTCCATTTCGGTGTCATCTGAAGTGCTTATCCCTTTTTGGTTAAGTCTTACTCCTGCTATATTTGCTGGGGAAAATTCAAGGACTGTAAGCACACAGAGTCTAATGCAGTTGCCGGGCAACAATCGGATACAAGGCGAGTCGCCTTCTCGCTGGAGCCAATTAGTTGGCAATTATTTTACTAATGAGCAACCACATTAACCCCAGCCCTGGCCTCTGCCAGCGAAGCAGGAGGTTAGCCAAAAGCTAGACGAACATTAAATCGAGGCCACCAAACAAAAGTCAACGATGCAGCGTCAGTGGAAGTCAAACTTCTAGAGTTTCTCACTTTGGCCGTTGAGCTGATGAAATATGCTGCGTCTTTCCAGCAGCATAGACATATTTATATACGTATTCCTATACCTATATACATATGTATATATAATATATATTTATATATAGAGACGTGGCGCTGATAAGCAGAAAGCGGTTGGCCCCATTCTTGGGGCTGCTTGGCAAGTGGCGTTTCGCTTTTATGGCTCCTCTTTACGATGCCACGCCCCGCATGACCTTATCGACATTAGCAGCGACAACAGGCGGCTTCATTAGGAGCCAGGACAAGCAGGACGCACTGGACAGAGGACTGTCTGCCACACAGTTTGCACAATTAAATGAAATGCCGCTGCGGCATCTCAATTTCTTTCTGCTGTCTGCGGCTGGTGGCCTCATTAGGTCAACGCTGGCTGTTGCTTTTATTGTTGGCCGTTAAAGTGTCCTGTGTGCTGTGTGCTGTGCGCAGTGGTCCGCTTGTTATCTGAGCAGGAAGCTAGCGTAGCGATTGCACAACTAAATCATAAAAATGTCCTTATGACAGCGTTCCACACTTAGCTTTCGTTGACAGCGAAAATTAAAAATCAACTACTCAACGCTCAACTGAAAGGATAGCAGAGCAGCAACAACAACAGCATCTCTCTCTCTCTCTCTCTCTATTTCTCTACCCCTATTTCTGCGACTCGCAAAAAATCAAGACAGCGCAAACTGTCGCAAAAGTTTGAAGTTAGTTTATAATTGGCGCAAAGACAAAAGTGCAGCGAGGCGAAATTTAAGTTGCACTCGAGTTTATACGAGCTGAGCCACATTTTCGAGTCGTGCCAAGGAGCTGGCGAGGTTCTGTTAATGAATTTCCAGAGACCGACACGAGGCGCCGTTGAATAAGGTCCGACAGCTCACATACCTTTGTCCCAAATCAAATTAGCTGACTGGTGGCTGGCGCAGAGGGGCCGAAAGCCTTTGGAATTAGCCATAAATCAATATTCATAATTTGTAATCCAAGTTTAATTGAGATAAATTGCGTGCCGCCATCAAAGAGCATGCATGGGCCGACTTAACTTGAGTCTGGCTAAGTACACAGAGCCATCTGGATTGATTAGGAATAATGGCTAATAAACACATGACTTGGCTAATGAGTCAAACGAACGAACCGAAATTCTGTTGAAAGCAACTTTAAATAAGACATTATAAACAACAGATATTGGATGAGAATTAGCATATTTCCATGCTTTTTATAATAATCAAGGCATACATTTTTGCATTTTACTTGTGTCAATTGAATTCAATTTTAAATATTTAACATTTTTAAATTATCGAGAAAATAAATAAAAGTTTGTATAAAAAATTTATTTCAATGCATTCCATTTCGTTTATAATACTTGCATTTGCAGAAAAAAATCATTTATTTCATATTAAGTAGTACGACTAAAGAACTGTATATTTAAATATGCATCTATATATATAAATAAAAATATATATTTATACGTATATATGTCGGAATGATATTATGACAAAATTACACAGGGACGTGTAATCGTCAGTATGTGCTCTCTGGTTAGAGGTTCGCTGAACAACAACATGTGACCAGAACTAGAGGTTTTGACAGAAGAAGAGAAAATACACTTGGTCATAAAATATGCTCAATTTAAAATTATTTTACGATTTACAAAATAATTATTGTTCTTTGTTGATTTTTTCTCATTGATCGATATAAATTATGAAATTCTTCCAGTGAAAAATTTCGCTTGAAAATATAATACTTTTTATAATACTTTTTTACATTTTTACATTGTTCTGGATGTTATTATGATTGAGTTTTTTGATCGTTTTTTTTTTTTCAGTTTTCAACTTTCAAGTGCTACTCGTACAGAAACAATTTTATATTACTATACGATGCGAAATGATTTAACATGATTTAAGAGTAAGTGACAATAATGAAAAAATTGACGACAATAATAAAATTCACATACAACATTATTAGATGAAGGTGAAATATCGAAAAAAAAAATTGTGGAATTCCAGGTTGCAGTAACCACTCAATAATAATGAATAACAACAAAACTCGAGTGGAACTGCTAATTGTATGTGCCTGACTTTGACATACATTACACAATGCAAAAAAAAGTGGGCTGCTTACTGAGGTTTTAATTCTGAAGCTGGAGTGAATTTTAGAATTTTAATTATAGCAATGCTTTAAAAATTTGGAAATTTTCCAAAGCAAACCTAAAAGAATACAAAAAATTTCAAGTCTTTAGCTTTAATGGTTTAAATGATAGTAAAAATCGGCTTGTATATTATCTTTTTTCTCTAATACAAAAAAAGGATTAATTCACAAGGCTTACAACAATTTGCATATAATATTTCTTTCCGTTCGCTCGCATAGCGATTGCTTGATCAATAACTATATACTTTATGGCATCAACTATGGCTAGCGAACTATATTTAACTTTTAAAGTTTTTACCACTTTTTACAAATATTTAACGCTTTCACATTTATTAAACAGAATACGAGCTCTTAATACGGACTTAGATTCCGACAGCTTCTCTTTATTATGTGCTCAAATTTTATTGTATCTCAATTCCATAGAATATTTTTCACATTTAAATTTTATTTTCGGCCAATCTGTGCTCAGCTGCTTTGTCTCGAACGACTTAAGCGAGCGGTTGCCCCACAGCTGGAGCTGGGGAAACAATGGCAATAATAGCTGACAGTAAATCCATTTAATCCGACCAACTGAATGCTTCGCCATCGCACAAAGGGCATGCAAAAAGAGAGGACCCACAGCTCCTGGATAGTGCATCACCTGCAGAGCGAATCTAATCGCTTAATGAATTTATTTACCCCAGCCTCCAGTGGCTCAACCAGCCATACCCAGTCAATTCTGGCTCGGTGGCAAACCACTTGAGTATATTCCAGCCCCGGGCATCGCCAGCAGGGATATCCTTCAGTCTGTGTGGCTCAACATTTTAGTCCTGGTGGCGATGAGTTTGTCATGTGATTTAATCAAAGTTTGCTCCAGCCAAATCTCGCCCGTAATCGTCGCCAGCTGTGGGCCGAGTGGGCGTGGCGCTGACTGTGCATTTTGATAGAAAGGAGAGGGGTGGCCATAGGGAACCGCAGGACCTCTGACCAACTTGCACACTTTGTGTTGTGAATTTACTTTGCACTTTCTTGCAAGCAGCGCGCTGTTGACAAGGACTCTGGAGTCATCTCCGGCCGCTGGCTCCTAGCTGCTGAATATTTGCGTGTTGCTGCAGGTGTTTCCAACGTCCGTTGACTTTCAGACAGAGAGAGACAGAGACAGAGAGAGAGAGAGAGAGAGAGAGAGAGAGAGAGAAAGAGGATGTTGCGGGTAGGTGTCACAGTTGAATGCCGTTCTGTCGTCCTGATGCCGATTTAAGTGCCAGCAGAAGATAGAGTAAATGCAATAAACACCATTAGCTGCGATGGCAAAACGGCAACAGGAGCAGGCCAACAGACAGCAGACAGCAGCCAGGAGCCAGAAACCAGAAGCCAGTAGGATCTGTATGCGTGTTTTACTTTGCAAACTTTTGCAGCACAGTGTAGCTGAGGATTCAGGCCAGGTAAGCAAGGAGGCGCTGCACCTCGCTGCAAGTTCGAGAAAATGTTGCACCAACAAAAAATGCAAACAGCAAACTTAAGTGAATTGAATAAAAAAGTTTCTCAAAACTGCAAACCGAGAACTGCAAACTGCGAACTGCGAACTGCGGGTGCCATAAACTGAATGCGGTTCATAAGGCGAGCCCCGAGCAGCAAGCTCCATGCAGACGCGCTCAAGCTAAGGTCGAGTTTAAGTAGATTGCGTAATTTGCTTATCGTTCGCAGCCTGTTTGCCGTTTGACTTGCCAACTTCCTCAACATTTCTTCTACTTTTTGTATTTTTTGGTTTTCATTTTCCTATTTATGTTTTCTTCTACTCAGTTGATTAGATTTACGAGCAGCTGACCAGGCGCAATCACAATATAAAATTTACAACACCAAAGCTCTACTTTGTTGATACTAAACTGCATTATGTCTAGAGTATTTGAGCAGCGACTAACAAATGAGAGTTTGTTCAACTTTTTTTTGTTGTTCGATATTTACATTTTTTTAAATAATGTATTAAAACTACTGAATCGAATGCCCACGGCGTACCCATGCATTAAATAATATTAAAAATAATTAAAAGGAATATCGTAACAATTTAATTAACATTCATTCCGCTCTGCTATTGTGGCATGCATTCAATATTCACTATTTAACTGCGAGCTTAAACTGAATCATTGAATCATTCACTCAAAAAAAAAAAAAAAATAATAATAATAATAATAAAGTAAATTAAATTTCCAATCATTCAGCAGCGTAAAATTCTGTTCAAATATCACGTATAGATAGGTTCAACTGGAAATCATTAAAGTTTTACGCTGCTAAGCCGATCATTGTGGGATATATATGTACATATTAAAAAAATATTGATGTACATATATATTTACTTATATATTTGTAGTCGACTAGATTTGTTTTTTGCAACTGCAAATCCAGGGAAAACTTTGGTTAGTTCACTCGAGATCCGAAACTCTTGACCCATTAGCCCTAACTTTATTTTTCTTCTGCACTGACAACAGCTGTGCCACGCAGAGAGGCCGGTGGTAGACAGCTGCCAGAATAGTGTGTGTGTGCCTGCCTCTGCCTCTTTTGGGGACATGCATCAACCCACTTAACGCTTTGTTTGGGCCACAAAATAAATGATGCCAAATGCTGCAAAACAATAACAGCGCGCCTTGCTTTTTGCCAGCACAATACTCTAGCATTTCTTTCACAGAAATCCACTCAGCTATGCACACACACACACACACACACACACGCATACACTCACGTTGAATGCAACTCTTGCGGTTCATTGTACTTTACAGGAATTTTTAGCTCGACTGAGCTCGCGACTTCCGCGTTGTTTTGCCGCCATTTTGTTAGGTTTTGTTGTCATCCGCCATTTTGTGTGTGTGTGTGTGTGTGTGTGTGTGTGTGTGTGTGTGTGTGTATGTGTGTGA